GGGGGAGCCCCAGAAAGTTGTGTTTGGGGGTGTGTGTGTGTGTGTGTGGGGGGGGGGGGGGCGGTATTGTAGATGTAAAGGAGAATTGACTTTGGGGAGTACTGTTCTGCTTGTAGACAGAGCTATCGTCCAAGTGGCAAGGCCCAGTCGGTCCTCCGGCTTGAAGATGTCTGGTATGACCTGAGTATGGTTCTCCATTCTTGGCCTCAGTTTTGCCAACGCAAGTGCTAATTCGGGCTGGCAGTGTTGGCCTTTAATCCCAGCACTCAGGAAGAAGAGGCAAGTGGATTTCTGAGTTCAAGGCTAGTCTACAGAGAGAGTTCCATGACAGCCAAGGCTACACAGAGAAACCTTGTGTCAAAAAAAATAATAATAATAAGTGGGGGAGGGGAGAGAGGAGAGTGTGGGGGAGAGCACACTAATTCAGACAATATTCAAACTGTCTACCCATCCATCATCCTTCCCAATAGAGAACAGCCACTGGGGCTGTACTCCTGGGGCCAGTCTGGGTGCTGGTTGTCGGAGATGGATGCAGCAGCAGTCCCCCAGGGGAGACTGAATTTAGCAGATCTGAGGGCTCAGACCCTGGGGCTGAAGCAACAGTCCCTCTTCCATGCATCAGCACCAGCAGCCTGGGTGCTTGTCCCTCTCTGCTACCAGTGTTAAATGCTCATCTCTGTTCTACCCAGACCCTCAGCAGCCTAAAGAGGCCCTTTCCTTTTAATTTTTTTGTTTTTTGTTTTTCACTACAGGGTTTGTCTGTGTAGCACTGGCCTTCCTGGAACTAGCTCTGTAGACCAGGCTGGCCTCAAATTCTTATACCTGCCTCTGCCTCCTTCGAGCTGGGATTAAAGGCCACTACCACCTGGCTTTAATTAAAAAAAAAAAAATTTAACTGTTCTGTTGGTTTGTATGTTCATGTACCACTTGGGTGGGTGTCTGATGCCCACAGAGGCCAGAGGTGGGCACAGGATCCCCTGGGACTAGGATTAGAGATGGCTGTGAGCCACTATGTGGGTGCTGGGAATCAAACCTGGAGACCTTTTTCTTTAGAAGAAAGATTGGGCTTATGGCCTCTCCTCAGCTGAGTCCATGATTTACTAACATGCTGGCAGGGAGACATCCCCAGAGGGGCAAGCTAGCACCACTTGAACAAGAGTCTCCTGCTGTCCTCAGGTAAGGCTGGATCCACTGTGTACAGGCATGCTTTCTTCTGAGGGCTTGGGGATGGGAGGCCGGGAATTAGCTGGGTTTGGCCCAGTGATGGCTCAGTTGGAAGAGATACCTTTTGGATGTACTCACAGGTCCACCTCTTGACCTAGAAAAAGGCTAGAAGGTCTGCCATCCCTTATGTTGGCTCACAGTTTGGTCTCTCTCCTCTCTGGAGTCCCTCAAAGGGACACACATCTTCAGGATGGTGGGAATTGGAAATGCTCCTGGGCAGGGGTGGCTGTGCGTTCAGTAGGGATGTAAAAAGCAGTGTGAGATGCTCGATCCTAATTAGTCTTAATAACAGAGACTAGGAGTGACATACCAGGGTGAGGGAGCCCATGTGGGGAGGGGTCAACTGTGGGAACAAAGGGATGCCAGGAAAGGAAGCTAGCAGGGTCCGGGCCTCCATCACCCAGGCTGGAGGAAAGTCCCAAAGCCTTGGTTCTGAGTGGACACGCAGGTCCTGAGTCTCCCTCATAGATACTGGAAGAAGGCCCTTGAGAGACATGTTCTGTTTGTATTGCTGGGAACCTGGTGCCCCCTCCCTACAGATATTCTTTCTTTTTAATCTCTTGCATCTCATAGAAGTGCCTAGCTTACCAGGGTATCCCTGAGGGAAAGGAAGAGCAGACCCTCTCAGGTCTGCACCCCTAAGGTAAGCAAATCCCAGAAGGATTGTGCAACAGGCCTTTGCACCATTGTTGTGTGACAAAACTTCATGAGGAGATGACAATACACACATCTACTTACTCCAGATAGAGAGCCTGTGACAGACCAAAGTATGGATACCACCAAAGTCCAACTTGGTGAACCATGAGTTTTATTGGGGTTACTTACAGGAGCGGAAATGACTCAAAGACATCTAGCTGCATCACCAAAGCTCACCCCGGCATGGTGACAGCTCATAGAAGCTAGGTACTTGGAGCACCCTGCACAGCCTGCAGCTCAACAGGCTGGAGAGTGTCCTTTCCAAGTGACTGTGCTAAACCTCTTCCAGGCAGCTCGGCTGGCTTCTGCTTGTGCTTCTTCCAGGCTCAGAGTCTTCTTTGCAGCTTGCCTCTGCTCTCCTTTGAGGACGGCTCAGCCTTTATTGCTTACTCTGGCAGGGAGGGGCCTAGTGAATCTGGTCGGTGTCAGGGACTTCCTGAAGCTATTTTGAGTTGTTTACCTTCCTACTTAAGAAGCTTCCCTGCAGGACAGAATGTTTCAATCGCAGAGGAAACTGTTGCACAACAACCGTCCCCTGCAAAGACCTGGACAATTTTTGCCTCTAGCCATCACCTACTTTCTGATCTCAGTTTAGATGTCACTTTCCAGGAGCCTCCTCTGATTCTTTAGTCAGATTAGCTGCTTCTGAGCTTCTAGGACCCTTGTCCCATCCTGTCTGCATCCCCTCACAGCTACCAGGGAGTACAGCTATAGTCTTGCTCAGTTTGGAAGCCCAGTGGCATGTAGTACGGTCATCCACTTCCTCTGCCCCTGTCTCATTCCTAATTACCTGGAACCCACAAGGCACGTTTGAAGCTGCCTTCCCTGTCTGTGCACATCCAACCCAGAATGAGGAGGAGGGCAAGCCTGGCCACGATGGGGGAGGGGCATTTCCTGCCGTTTTTCTGTTTGCTGAGAGGAGCTGCAGATCCCCAAGAATAGATGTGAACTGGTGTGCCCCCCCCCCCCGGCTTGGCGATCCCACTGCTATGTCACCCAACGTGAATTTCTTCAAGATGGGCAGCCATGTTGAGTAGCATGTCCTGTAGGTAGGGGTCACTTTCTTGTCCTCCTGAGCCCAAAGAAGCTAGCACAGGTTTAGGGTGAGCACCTATTTACCTTATATATTCTCTCTCCTTTCTTCAACCCTTCCATCTTTTTTCTTGTTTGTGTGGTTTTTTTGTATTATTTTGAGACAAGACCTTTCTTTTGTAAGCCTGGGTTGTAGCCCAGGCTGGCTTCAAATTACAATCCTCGTTTCTGTCTCCTGAATGCTGGGACTACGGGTGTATCCTATGATTCCAGCTCAGAGGGTGACTTCCTAGCAGATCTACCTACCATCCCCTATC